TTCCTGCTAGCTTTGGGTTTAGTTTGCTCTTTTTCTAGTTCCTTAAGGTGTAAATTTAGGTTGTTGATCTGAGACCTTTCTTTTTAATGTAAGCATTTTACAGCTATAAGTTTCCCCCTTAGCACTGCTTTCACTACACCTTATACACTTTGATATGTTGTGTTTTCATTCTCTTTTGACACAAGATAACTTGCTAATTTCCCTTGTGATTTCTTCTTTGACCCATTGGTTGTTTAATAGTGTGTTGTTTAATTTCCACACATTTGTGGATTTTCCAGTTTTCCTTCTACTGTTGATTTTTAGTTTCATCTCATTACAATCAGAAAAGATACTTTGTATGATTTTAATCTTTTAAAATTTATTAAGACTTGTTTTTCTTTTAATATTGTGCTAACAGGACCTGCAGTTCCGTGCTAAGTAGAAGCAGCAATATTGGACATCCTTTTCTATTTCTGATTTTAAGGAGAATGCTTATAATGTTTCATCATTACATGTGAACTGTATCGTAGTTTTTGGTTTATATTCTATTATAAGAAGTTCTATTCCTTGTTTATACATTTGGTATTTCTTTTGTGCTGAAATGGTGTTGAATTTACTGAAAAAACTTTTTTTGGTAACCGCTAAAATGATCATACAGTTTTTCTCTTTTTATCTGTTATGCTAGAGAAATTTTCTAATGTTAACTGTGCTTGTAATTAGTGAGATAAACTCAATTTGGTTACAATGTATTCTCTCATGTGTGTTGAAGTTTTTTGGTTGATATTTTGGAGGATTTTTGCATCTATGTTTATATGTGAAATTGGCCTATAATTTTCATTTCCTATTATACTATACTTGTTTGGTTTTGGTATTAGTTTTACTAGCTTCATAAAATGAGGTGAGAAATGTTTCCTCTTTTTCAATTCCTTAGAAGAATTTGAGTAATTCTTTGCATATATTGATAGAACTCACTATATAGCTATCTGTGTCCCCCCCCTTCTGTCTATCTCTCTCTCTTTCTGATTTAATTTATTTAATGGCTATAGGAGTATTCAATTTTTTTCTTATAAAAATAACATCTTTTTTGAGATATTAATCATATACCATAAAATCACCCTTCTAAATTGTACAATGTAGTGGGTCTTAGTTTAAATAATATTGTCTGATATTAAACCAGTTACTCTCTTTTAGTTATTATTTTCTTACTATATCTCAGGTGCATAGAATTGGACTAAAAATTGTCTTTAGCTCATGCAAACACTGATTACTGGTGCATGCATGTGCCACTTTTACTCATTTATTTAGTTTGTTATTATAAATAATGTAATAAGCATCTATGAACCCATTTGGCTCCCTGCCTCCCCTCACCTGAGGGTAACTATCATCCTGAGTCTATACTCTATATTGTTCATTCCTCGCTGTCCTTTTTATATAATTTTATTGCATATGTGTATATTCCTTAAAAATAACATTGAATTTTGATTGTTTTATGAAAAGGGGATCATGTTGGATATAATTTTAAGAGCTTATTTTTCCACTTAATATAAGTTGTTAAGAGTCTTCCCTATTTTGCACATCACTGTATTTCTTTCATTTTGACTGTTGGGTAATATTCATCCACTCTCTTGACTGGGCATTTCAGTTGTTTCCTGGGGTTTGCTATTGTGAAAGTATTGTTGTCTATATTCTTACACCTACCTCCTTTTGTACATGTGCCAGAGACTTGGTTACTGAGTCCTCAGATATGTGAAAGTTCAATATTAATAGATGATGCCAAAGCGCTTTCCCAGCTGGTTTCACCAGTTTACATTCACATCAGATCCGTGGATTGACTTCCTCTCCAACATATAGTATTGTCAGATTTTTAAATTTTGTAAATGAAACAGGTCTCAATAATATCTCTCTGTGGTCCTGATTTGTATTTCTCTGATCGCTAGTGAATGTTGAACATCTTTTCTTATGTTTATTGGCTATATGTATTTTTTTCATTTGGGAAAACCTCTTTTGAGCTTATTTCTGTTGCATTTATTGTGTTTTTTCCATTGAATTTTAGAAAATATTTATGTATTCTTGATATTAATGTTCTCCAGTTGTACGTGTTACAAAATATCTATTCCTGGTTTTTAATTTGTGTTTTTGCATTTTTGAAAATATCTTTTGATTAGCAACAGTTTTTCATTTTAATATAGTCAAATTGGTTAATCATTCATAATTAATAATCATTAATAATCATTTATAGCTAATGCTTTTGTATTTTGGTTAAGAAAATTTCTTGCCCCAAAGACTAAAAGTTATTCACCTATATTTTCCATTTAGAGTTTACAAAATTATTTTTAACACTTAATTCCTTATACCATCCTTATACCTTAGAGTTACTTTTAATATTATAAGACAGAGATTCAATTTCAACTTTTTCCGTAGAGATAACCATTTTTTTTCCAGCTCAGTCTGTCAACTTCTCACTAATCTGACATGTCACATCTGTCATAATACCACACTTTCATTTGCGTATGAGGCTGTTTCTTGGCTCTCTTCTGTTCTGTCAGTCACTCATCTATCCTTGTACCAATAGCACACTGTCTTTAATTATTATAGCTGCATGATAGGTCCTAATATTTGGTGAGGTAAGTCTTCTCTCCCTGCTCTCTTTCTTAACAGTGCTTTGACTATTCTCGGCTCTTTACCTTTTCATGTAACTTTTAGAATCATCTTATTAAATTTTATGAAATTTCTGGTGACGTTTATAAAATTGGAATTACATTGAATTAATCTGGAGAGAATTTACTTATTTATAATATGAGTTGTTTCTAGCCATGAACATGATATATTTTTCCATGAATTTAGGTTCTTTTATAAACATCTTTTAATATATCTTTTATGATATTCTCCATAGAATTTTTACATATGTTTTATTAGATTTATTCCTGGGTGTCTGATATTCTCTGAGATCATTGTAAGTAAAGTATTTTATATAATTTTGTTTTTTAGGCTTTTTGCTGCTAATATATTAAAAATGAAACTCACTTTCATATTTTAATCTTATATGCAGCCGACCTGGTAAACTCTATTAGTCTCATAATTTGTAGGGTTTTTTTAATACGTTCTATGTAAATAATCGTATCATCTGCAATAATATGAAGGTTATGTTTGAACAAGGGTGTGAAACAGGTGAGGAAGTAAATTATGTGGATATCCAGTGGAGAACATAGCAGGCAGAAGGACAGCAAATACAGATGTTAAAGCAGGAACATGGCTGATGTGTTCAAGGAATGTCAAGGAAGCCAGAGTTCCTGGAGTGCTGAGCAAGCAGGAGAGTGGTAGGAGATGAGGTCAGAGGTATTGGACTAGATTATGTAGGGTCTTGTAGACAACTCTAAGGACTTAGGTTTTTACTCTGATTTGGTCATCCACTGGAAGGTTTTGAGCAAAGGGTGACATGATCTGAGTCAGCTTTTTAAAGGACCATTCTGGCTCCTATGTTGAGAATAAACTACAATGGTCAAAGACTAAAGCAGGGAGACATGATAGGATGCCATTGCAATAATCCAGGTAACGTGATGGTGGTCTAGACCAGGGGAGTAGTGGGTAAAGGTGGTGAGAGGTGGCTGGGTTCTGGATATATTTTGAAGATGGAACTAACAGGAATTTCTGAAGGTTGCTTAGGAGAGACAAAGAAGTCAAGGATGATTCTAAGTTTTTTGGTTTGAGCAATTAGAAGAATGAAGTTGCCACTGATAATGTTGTTGAAGAAGTTGAGCATCATTTCACATAGTGTCTTCTTTGTAAGGACTTTGAAGGAAATTTGAGTCTTATTATTGGAAAAAAGTGCATTTCTCTCAAGAACTTGCTTCATTTCTATCTTTGTTAGTATCTGTTGGGAACTGTGACTGCTTTAGCTGCTGGAAGATGTAGAACCACATTTGTGTTGTGCCTTTGTAGCAAGGGTATAGATATCTAAAGCATATGTACTTTTTTATTGACCTCATTCACATTTGGCCTTGTTTTTATCTTTTCCTGCCACTTCTGATTCGTTCTCTTATATGTTATATATCCTTATATACCTCCTTAAAATCTTTTTAGAACAGAACCATGTGTAAGTAAATGAAAACAAATTGTTTGCATTGTATGCTACCAAAAAGGAAATGTGGGAGGCAGCGCGAATTTTTAAAGACTAAGAGTTAGGACATCGTCTTGAACTACAAATTAACATGTGTGTGTGTGTGCATATGTATATATAAAAATACATACATATGTGTGCATAGATGTATATTATATATATATTTAATATATATATCTGAGTGCCGGCTGAGTTCCTACAACTCTGTATCATTCATTCAGCAATATTCAGTGCGTGTCCACTATGTGTCAGGTGCTGTTCTAGGCACTTGATGACCTCAATTAACAAAACAAAGAATCCTATTGTCAGGGAGCATGCGTTCTAGTGGGGGAGATACTGACAAAAATAGCACATGTAGTAGGTTAGTAAAGTATATTAGAAGATGGTATGTACTACAGAAAAAAACATCAAGCATGATAAGGGAGACTGGAGGTGAAGGAAATATACAGGGAGGTTGGAGCGTGGTGGTCGCAGCATTAAACTGAGTGGTCTGGATGGGTCACATTGAGAAGATGACACTGACAGAGACTTGAAGGAGATGAGGGTGTGAGTTATGTCCCCTTCTGAAGGAAGAGCCATTCCATCAGCAGGAACAGCAAGAAAAGGTCTTGAGGTAGGAGTGTCCCTGGCTTGTTTAAGGAACAGCTGGGCAGCCAGCATACAATTGACTGAGTGAGAAACGTGGTGGGAAACAAGGTCAGAGAGATGACTGAGCTGGGAGAGACAAATCTCATCTAGCCTCATAGACTGTTATTAGGACTTAAGCTTTTTCTGAGTGAAAAGGGGCACCATTACGGGGTTTCAAGCCTAAGAGTGAAATGATTTGACTTACATTTTAAAAGGATCACTCTATCCATTATAGTATAACTTTACAGAGAGTTGATGATTATTTCTGCAATTTTAGGTATATTACAGCTAATACTGATACCGAAGAACAGAGTTTTCCACTCCCTAAGGCATTTAACACTCATGTAGAGGAATTAAATTTAGATGCCCTTATTCAGACGGCTGATAATTTACGTATGAATGAGTCCAGAAAAATGGAGAGTTTTGAACTACTTTGTGACCACAAAGAAAAGGTAAGAAATATGTGATAATAACATGCTTGTATAGTTTTAATTTTTTATTTAATCTACTGTCCCATTCATGTTATGACCATAACAATTGTGTCACAGTTTACACAAGCTAAATGATTGATGTACATTTTTTATAATATCACTACAATTTTTTAAAAGTAAATGTAAGAGTTTATTAGGCTCTAAGGTCATAAAAATGAAAACCAGAGATATGATTATACAGACTGACATCGATTTTATCAATCTGATATATTTCGTAAATATTTGGTAACAGATAAAGAATAAGACATACTGCTTCTCTGGAGGGAGGAAAAGCTACATTTTAAGCTCGCTATCTTACAATTACTAATATAACAGCCATTAGTATTTCACTGCGTCCTACCAGTAATCGTTTTCCAGTGTTTAATGCTGGGCTGAATTGGGAAAGCTCATCCTTCCCACCACCACCAAAGGAAAAAAAAAACGGTGGGTTTTGCAATATCACAAAGATCAATAAATCTTTTTCTTTCCCATGAGAGATTTAAGTCTAACCTTTGAGGATTTAGCAACTCTAAACGCATTACCTAAAAGTTTTTAAATCTCCAGGATTGTATTTAGGTAATTTAGGTAAAAAATGTGACTCCTCTTTTGAATGTATGTAATCTCTGATAACTTACAGATATTATCTGAAATGCCCATTGAAGCATCATATTAATAATAGATAACTTAGAAAGGAAAACAAGGAGAGGATACTACAACCCAGAGAGAATTTATAAATTCTGACACCTATCAAGTTTCTCGTCTTTGTAGGTGTGGAGCTGGTGTCTGCATAATATTCATTGGTTTTAAGATCCAAATGTAACACTACATTACGTCACATTTTATAGCCATGAATATTTGAACTTAAAGTGTGATATGCACATGAATAGATACAGTCATTTCTAAGTACCAGTTTACCTAATTTTTTAAAAGTTGCAGTGGAAAACAGTCTGGTCACGTTTCTGAGTTTATCTAATGTGCAGTTCTGTCTGTTCAGTTTAGAGATGAAATAGAGTTTATTTGGCGGTTTGCTCGTGCTTATGGAGACATGTATGAGCTATCTACAAATGCACAAGAAAAGAAGCATTATGCTAATATTGGTAAGTATTTTGTAAATATTAATTATCCTCAAGTAGTAATCATTATCTATAGTAAACCACTAATGAATTTTAATTAAAGCTAAATTATCTTACCTAAAACAAGTATGTTTAATCTATTTCAACATATCCTAGTACTTGTATAGTCTAAGGACAGAAAGGTTTGTTGTTTTTTTTTTTTTTTGTGGTACGCGGGTCTCTCACTGTTGTGGCCTCTCCCGTTGTGGAGCACAGGTTCTGGACGCGCAGGCTCAGCGGCCATGACTCACAGGCCTAGCTGCTCTGCGGCATGTGGGATCTTCCCAGACCGGGGCACAAACCCGTGTCCCCTGCATCAGCAGGTGGACTCTCAACCACTGCACCACCAGGGAGGCCCCCAGAAAGGTTTTTTTAGAATAAAAGTACATGTTCTTAAAAAATATTTGAGCATACTAGAACAGGCAACTGAAAAACTCAAATTCCAGCTTTTAAAGTTTATAAAATCACAGAAAGATGAGACATTAAGTGGTAATAATATGAGAAGTGATAATAGCAGTAGTCTTTCACCACAATTAAAATAACCCTCCTTACTCCCTGTAACGTAGAACTCCAGGTACCACAAAGAAATAACTACTCATACTTTAACGTTTTTTTCAAAATTTATCTTGATAAAACAAGATTAGCCTTATTTTAAGGCTAATCTTGTTTAAGGCTTGTTTTAGCTAATTGTTTAAGCTGAGCAATGAGTCCATAGTTGTTCATTATACTGTCCTCTATTTTCCAAAGTAACAACAACAAAAGAAAAACAGCTAGAATGTGAAATTTGATATATATATAAACCTTGGCTCTCACTGAGTATCATACTCTTTCTTGCAAAAAACCCCCTAAGTTTCAGGATAGTAATTTGACATCAAAACTTCTTTAGTTTTTTTTTTTAAATTCCAAAGTCTTCCCTTTTCCAAGCTTTCCTTCTCTGAGATAGCATGAGGAAGAAACAGCAAGAAGATAATGATACTGCCAATCTCCTTCCACTCTAGTTCCCTGTCATTTTTATTTCTACGAAGGAAATATTTCCAAGTTCCTTGAAATTACATTTCTTCCGCTTGTAGGTTTCTTTGCCAAGTGGCCTCTGTTCTTGAATTCTTAGTGGGAAGAGGATGGAAGGAATTCCCCTTCTTGTTCTTTACATATTCCTCATCAGCCTTGTGGGGCAGTTTTTCTGTAGCAATCCTTCTTGCAGACCATAAACAAAATGGAATTCTAGGGAAGAGATTTATTAACTTGAAGGGAAATAAAAATTTAGCCAAAGAGAACAAACTAACTTATTTTTATATCTACTGAGAAAGAGTATATCTATGTAAACTGTTCCAACATCCGTCAATATTAAATATATATTAAATAATGTAAAAATATATATTAAATGTATTTTTTTTCTTGAGCACCTCCCTGCCCTGGGCATTAAAGCTCCTCCTGTGTTAGAAGGTAGAAATATGATAGCAAAATAGACATGTTCTCAGACTGCAAGGAGCTCATGGCTTTGTGGGGAAGATAGTATTACTAAAATAATCCTACATATAAAGAAACATACTGAAGTAAGTTGTTAGTAAAGAAGAATGTGGCATATTAAGAGAGGTTATAACAGAAAGGAGGATATGATGGCGGGGGTGAACGTTGATGCAGGGAACTCTTTCTTCTGGAAGTAAGTCTCACATAGTAAAATTACTTGGGATCTGTATTTTTAAATGGAGTGAGAGTTTAACTGAGTTAATGTATGAGATGGTGAAAATGGAGAAAGAAGCAGGCTGGAGGAAATCCGAATTCTCATACCCGAGTACAAGAAAGGAGCATGGATTGAGACAGGATATATTCAAAAAAGAGAAAAGTTTATAGTATCAAAGAAAAAACAGTGACCCCTCAGATGTGTTCATGCAGTTATAGAAATAAATTTAACAGAATTCCTATTTTTTTATCCAAGAAATATTTATGAGAAATTTTTATTTATTTATTCAAAATATTTATTCGAAATCACCGTGTCTAGGAGCAAAGTTAAAATGAGGGGTGAGGGAAGGAGAAAAGGAGGGACATGAATATGATCAAGACAGTGTTACACTAAGGAACTTACAGACAAGATCAATATGGAGACAGGCAATTGTAATTCAATGCACAGGTAGTAAGTGCCTGGCAAAGGTGATGGCAAAGAACACTGGAGCTGAGACATTGGAGACTGGAGTTGACGGGCATCGGCACCCAGTACAAGGGAGGAAGAGTGCTGTTATTGCTCATAACAGTATGTTTGAACTTGTATGCCGAGGGAAGACTGGATCACTGAAGAGTACAGAATTCTTTCCTAAACCTCTAACTGGGGTATACCATTATGCAGTACATCTGTGGATGTACTGTGATTGATCATACTTGTCTTCCAAATAAAATATGAATCTTATATCTAAAAGAACATCATTGTAATTTTCAGAATTAAATGACTGATACAAATGCCACAAACAGATCACAGAATACAATTTTGTAAGGGAGATAGCTTTCCTTTCAGGCTGAAGCTGCATAAATGAGGCTGCAAAACCAATCTGTGTAGTACCCAGCTCCCTTATATTCTCAGAGCGATGGAATCACCTCTATGTTAAGCTTGTGGCAGTGCCCTAAAAGCTATTTTTGTTCATTTGGCAATGTAGGGAAAATGTTGATTTAGTTTTTAAAGTCTGTACATTTAAAAGTATTTATGTTTTTCGATCATTCATTACCAAATTACTAACTCTTTTAATATATGTCCACAATGTACTATGAGTTATTATTTTAAAATACTTCCTTTTAGTTTTTTTCCAGTTTATATAGATTTCTATACAGGGTAGTTCTCTTAATGGACAGAGCTATAAAGTACCACCTTAGCAAATTAACAAATAGGAGAATGATTTTAGAATAAAATATCTTTATTTATAAAAATTACCTAAACTAGTTATTTAGAAGAGCATTTTGTATTGGATAGTCTCTTCAAGCAAAAAAAAAAAAAAAATTAAAGCAGGGAAAAGGAGATGGTGTAAAATAAAACAACCACTTTTTGAGAAAGATTTTCAGAATGTGGTTTAGACCAGCGGTCCCCACCCTTTTTGGCACCAGGGACCGGTTTCGTGGAAGACAGTTTTTCCCCCGGGGAGGGGGGGGTGGTGGGGAGCGACGGGGAGCAGCAGATGAAGCATTGCCCACTCGCCCGCGGCTCACCTCCTGCTGTGTGGTCTGGTTCCTAACAGACTGCGGACCAGTACCGGTCCACTGCCCTGGGTTAGACAAACCTCTATCCAAAAATTAATGGGTTATTAAAAGTTATTCTAAAACTAAGTAAAATTATTTAGGGGAATTATTTATTTACTGAGCCTGCTCATTATTGTGAAAGATTAGACAAGAGCTCTGGGACATCTTCCCTTACCCCTTTAGATAGATTAGATGGAGTTGCTCTCTCCATTCTCTGTTATACTCTCTTTTTTACCTTGTATTTATTTTTTGCACATAATTCGTTTGTTTATATACCTACTGCCTACTGAAATGTGAATCCTTGGAAGTCAAGAACTGTGTCTTATTTGACTTTTTATTCCCAGAGGCTCACATAATATGATACTTAGAAAGCACTCAGTAAATGTTGGTTGAGTTAATTACAAAACAATTTCTATTAACACTTCTAAATAATGATTGAATGACTTCCCTTGCACTTGGTTAAATCACTTAACCCAGTGAGTCTCAAACTTGAGCATACATCAGAATCACTAGAGGCTAGTTAACACAGATTGCTGACTCTCAGAGTTTATGATCAAGTCCCTCATGTGGTCCAAAATTTGCTTTTCTAACAAGATTCCAGGTGATGGCTTCTGGTCTTGGGACCATACTTTGGGAACTACTGGCTTAAATTCAGTAATTTACCTCCCACCAACTCAGATGAAGGTAATAAGCGTAAGTGCATTTATCTTTCAGGAAAGACATTAGGTGAAAAAGCTATTACTAGAGCACCCATGAATGGACATTGTCATCTATGGTAAGTACATAGAATTTATGCAGCCTTTAAAAAATTCTAATATGCCTCTTTATAAATTGCAATGGATTTTTAAAATATTATTGACCCACTTAACATGTCACATTCACTAAAAAGAATATTTAGTATATAGCACAGTGACTGTTCTTTTTCTGTTTATTCTCATGTATTTTTCAGTATATATATTTTAAATATATTTAAGATAAACTTTCATTGAAGAATTCATAACTGAATCCACCAAGTCCAATAACTGTGCACATGATAAATTTAATTAAATCTAATTTAATATAACATTTTGTTTGAAAACAAATACTAAAGTGATGCCACATTTCTAAATGAAACACAGAGAGAAGAATAAAAGCACATCAGCCATTATACCTTGATGAGTAAAGGTATACAAATTCCACAAGTCAAAGGAAAGCCATTTCTAATATAAGAAAGCTCAAACAAAGGAAATCTAATTAGTTGGATGGGTATAGGTGGATATCTTTGGGACAAAAAAATTTATTCTTGAGTATGTTTTGTTTTGGATCCTTTGTATATTTACAATTATAAAACAGAAATAAGAAGAAAAATATTGTTTTTAATTAACACTTCATTTTACTCATAGTTGTATTTCTATAGCATTTCTTAGTTTCTTAGTTATTTTTTCTCCCCAGTAATATTGGTACTTTAGGTGCTAGGAAGACATAGTCATAAATTTATTTTTGACCCTTCTCTCAGACCTAGATTGTCAGAAATCCACCCCTCTTTGGGATTATTTTATTCTTCTGGGATAGTCTTAGGCAAATCTCTCTCAAAATGACTTCTTTTCTGCAGGTCCACATTTATCCTCCAGGAAATTCATTTTTGCCCCACCAACTCAAAAGTGCAAACGATTTTTCCAAAGCAGACCTGTTCCTTTACACTGCCACCAGCAGGGGGAGCACCACTCACACACTCTCATCCTAAAACTTCCCTGGGCAGGAATCAGATAACATTTTTTATGTCCCCCAAACTCTAAAGGACATGCCAAAATAAGAATAGGTCTTTTGAAGCTGCCATCACTTAAAATGAGAAACAAGGCTACCCTCTTCCATCTCGCATGAGAAGGTGGGAGGTGGAACCCAAGTACCCTAGTAGTTCTATTCGCAGAAATCCCCCTTCCAGGTCTCTCTCTGCTTCAGCGAACTCTTTGCCTTCTCTTATATAGTCTGGAGATGGGTGAAGGGCTAAACCTGGCAGAACCTGTGAATCATTTCACTAATATGTCATGCATGGTTAGTAGAGTGTCTTGCTTTAGGAGCCAGAGTATACCTAATAAAGTATTGTTCTGTGCCCTAGTGCCTCTGCCACAACTCTAGGAGAAAGGTAATTTTGCAAGTAACATCCTGGTAGATATCTTTAAGGTCATTTCTCCAGTATGTAAGCGTCTTGGCTATTATTTCTATAGCCAGCTTTACCTTCCTCACCTAATTTGCATAATACTGATAATAATAAATTAATGTGTTAAAGTACTTCTGTTCTTCCATTTTTAGTATAACTGTAATGAATTTATACTGATCAAGCTATACTTGCTTCATCTCTTTCGATAATGGAGATGTTTGGGTGTTGGTTAGCCAGATTTGGACGCAGAAAGAACACCAAAGCCCTACTCTTAACTCTGAGCCTCCCCCTCCTCTTCCTCTGCTGTCCTCTTCCTTCTCCCATACAAACTTCTGCATCCATGGAGAATCACATTAAAAATGTACATTTGATGTTAACCCTCAATTTGAGGACACTTATCAGTGTGAACTTCCAAATTTCCATAAAGGAACAATGTTGAATCTTCTCTGAAGACTTCATAAGCACCTTAAACTTACCTTGTGAGGACAGATTATGCTTAACTCTTACTCAGTGGGTTTCCCAGCCTGTCTTCCACTAATCTGACCACTTCTCTTTTGTTCATCTTTTTTCACATTTTGTTGTGTACTAATTGCCTTGTTTATAACTGTGGGATTTAACCCCGAGGGTGAATCTTATTCACAGACACACACAGAGTACTGATCCAATTGTGTTTCACATGATTTTTTATTCAGTATCAGTTTTTAATTAAAAAACAATTAAAGTCTGATCAGTTGCTAAAATTTAATAAATTCAAATGTCAATTTTTAAATTTTATTTCATTGAAGTATAGTTGATTTACAACGTTGTATTAATTTCTGTTGTACAGCAATGTGATTTTATCTTAATTCATAAAATATATTATGATGTACCTACTGAATACAAGAATTCTCATTCAATTAAATACAGTAGTAGAGGTTTAGGGTGATGAAAAAAGAGAAATTAAGACTTTGACTTGAGAAGCAATGTGTGAAATTTAGATTAACTGATTCTATAATTAATTGTAATAAAATGTCATGAAAATGTCTTATCCTGCTGGAATTTTTTTCAGTACGTTACGACTTTTTCTCATTCATTCAGCATAAATGACAAGACATGGCCTCTAGGCCAAATGCAGCTGCCTGCTTTTGTAAATAAAGTTTTATTGGAGCACAGCCACACCTGTGCATTTGTACATAGCAATGAAGTTGAGCAGTTGTAACAGAGACTCTCTGATCCCACAACCTTAAATGTTTCCTACCTGGCCCTGCAGCGAAAGTTTGCTGACCCATAGTTTACAGGGTTCTGTGATGGTTTATAAGCCTTCAGTTTGAAATAAAAGATGCAATCATTAGAAATAATTATCATAAAGGGTTGATATGGAGGGAATAATTGAAAAACAAATATTATTTTAAAGACTTGTTTTTCATCATCATCTTTTCCAAAATGAAATTGCTCTGTAACTTTCAGGCTACATAAGCTTTCTATATAATTCTGTCGTTTTTGTTGTACCAGCCTAAAATACTTCTAGAATCAAGAGAGCAGAATCACCAATGGATTTGCAGTTTATTAGCCAAATAGGCCTGACCTTAATTATAAATAATGTCTTACATATTTGTTGTGCTCTACTGTTCACAAATTATATCCCCATGCCTTCTAGCATGTGATTCACAGAACAACCTGTTTCCATTTTATAGAAAGCAAGGCCGTCTGTGTGTGTGGTGCAGTGTATGTGTGTCTGGTGTGGTGTTGTGATTAGTAACCAAGGGTCATACAATAAGTGGAAAAACAAAAACCAGATCTTATATTTGTATGTACTCAGTATTTCATCTATTATTTACTCTTCCTCTGCTTTTTCACAGTATAAATAACATTGGTGCTAAATCAAAAATGCTACTGGGAAACTAATGGAGTTGTTTTAGTAGTTGTTTACTAGTTGTTGAGACAGGGATGTTTGTCAGTTATTAAAATATTCACTATAGATGCAAAGAAAATACAGAATTTTTGTCAACACACAGAACAACCTCTAGATGGAGGTAATAGACCATTTTGTGTGTTAATTTTCTTCATAGTTCCCATCAACCTGAGAGTTTACAAAATAAAATTTTAAATTACATTTTCCAAGATAAACAGTGTGGAAAACAACACGTACATGCAGATATAGGTGGAATTGATTGCCAGAAAAGAAATGATGATCCTTTGAGGAAAAGTGGTTCAGGTAAACTTTGAATTTATGACATGTAGGAAGATAAATAATACTTTAGACTTGAAAGAAGCAGACTTCAAAATGATTATGAAAAACATAAGACTCTGGTGACAGATTATTTATAAGGGAAAATGTACATATTTCATATAATGGTTTTCTTAAGTCACGTTTTTTTCTTTTTCTTCACTCAGAGTAACTGGGAAAGAACATGCTGAGAGAGCTCTGTAAAAGCTAGAGATGTGCATAAGTTGTTCTGATTTTCAAAAAATAGAAGATTGATTCCACCACTATAGATCAGTGAACATAGAATCTTTTCCTTTGATTACAGCACAAATAGTTGGGTTTTCTGTGAGTGATGAAGTTCAAGCAGACTCAACAGATTTTTCTAAAAATGTGAGATGATCTGTTTTTTCTTTGCTAGTAGATAGAGTAGGGAAATTGAGCTAATATATCTGGATTTAAGGAAGGCTTTAAGGCAAGTTCACTCATAATATTCTTGGGGACAAGATGTTAAAATATGGGTAAGGTTCTTTGTTACCTGTGCTGGCAGAAGGGTTTGAGCCTCAATCATTCAAAAGAATAACTGTTGACAATATCATGATTCTAGAGTTCCGGGTCTAGATCTTAGACACTAGTGTGTTCAGTAATTTTTTTCAGTGGGTGAAGATGTGGAAGGTATGATTATAAATGTTGCAAGTGATGCAAAATTAGGAAGAACAGAGTGTATGATGGATGACAATAGTAATTAAAAGATTTTCACATGTTGAAAGAGACTGAACAAGGTGAATTAAGAGGGATAAATATGGAAGGGGGGATGGAGAGGAAAATGTCAAAATTTGAGGACGTGAGGGAAAAACAGATGGAAATTAGAAGGAAGCATGGAGTTTAGTTAACAATAATATATTAATATTGGTTCATTTTGAAAATTTTCAATATTGTATATCAATATTAGTACAGTTGTGATAAATGTATTATAGTAATTTAAGATAGTATTTAAGATAGTAATTTAAGTAGTATCTCCTTACCTAGGTAAGTTCTCAGATCATAATAGGTTACTTTTGTCATAACTCTTGCTTCTACTGTTAGGAGATTATTGATTTTCTAATGAAAATTAAGAGGTCAAAAAAACTTATAACTGAAAAGTGGCCATTTTATTGGTTGTGCATAAGTTGTGTGAATTATGTGATCTTTTGTGTTCAGGAATGGTCTAACTGTTCCAAATTAAGAAAATTGTTCACTTCAATTTTTTATTTGAAAGTTATGTGTATCCACAGAAACAATCAAGATAAATAACACCCAAAATTACATTTTTCATTTCAGTTATGACAGTGCAAGTGAAAATTAAGGCCTACTTTTGAATTATTTAGGTAAATGAATATTTTGCCTCAGACAGAAACACTCTGAATACTTTTGCACAGACAGAAACAGTCTGAATGTAAAAAGTAATATGTGCCCAATTTTTAGAGGAAGCAAGTTGCTGAACAAGTATTGTGCCCAATTTTTAGAGGAAGCAAGTTGCTGAACAAATATTGTACATAATTTATAGTCAACTATTTATGTAAATTTTATATTCCCAAGGGAAAAAAAGTAAAGAATCCATGGGATGCACTCTTCTAGTAATGAATGCAGTGTTTCCAAGGAAGGATTGAAGGACATGGGGAATTTTTGAAAAAACATATTCTAAAATTACCTTTGATATTAGTATTTGTTTTTAGTCATGATATTTATTTTAATTTTCAAATGACATTAAGGAGGCCTTGAACTTTTTATTTTTACGAAAGAGAAGCAGGAATCTGTTGACACAATGTATTTTTCAGTTTAATACTTATGTGAATAGACTTTTCTGAGGGTCTCTTTGTGACTCTGATGTTGATGAAGGTGATGGCAGCAGCTAATCTTTCTTGGAACTCACTCCAGGCCAGACACTATTGTAAGCAATTACGTTTTAGATGTTTTACCCTCATAGCACACATATGAGATAGATGGTGTTAGTATCCCCAGGTATAGCTGAGGAAACTGGCCTCATGTTAATGTCAAACATTGGTTATTTATTCATCTATATGAATACTTTTGTTAAATATTAATGAATGGTTTAGAGATTTTTTTTTAATGTTAAATTTCATGGTATTTGATTAAAAGTTTACACAATGTCACTGTTTTTATCCTTTTCAGGTATGCGGTTTTGTGTGGCTATGTATCTGAGTTTGAGGGCTTACAAAACAAAATTAACTATGGATATCGCTTCAAGGTATTTCTTGATATTAAAAATGTTTTACTGTAGCTGTATGTTCCATTCACAAGTATAAATCAAATTATTCAATAGACTTATCTCTAGGAATTTATCTTTTTTACTTAAATGAAATGACAGTCTTTAAATAGTACTGTGCCAAAAAAGAAACAAACTCTTTGGGTGATTAAGGATTATTATTATTATTATAGATCCTGAAGGAAGTCACATAGTAGATGAGTATTATTTTTTTAAAGGTGGAGGCTTAGCCTTTTAGTCATGAGCACACCAACATCATAAACATGGCTGGCACTAATTAGTTAACATTTAATACATATTGATTTGCTGGTAGGAGTAGAATTCAATCTAGGGCTTAAATTTGCCATGATAGAGGAATAAAATAAGTAATGCACATACTCATTATTTATCATGTGCCTGTAGTTGTAATCGTTCAGTAAATAACCCCTCGGGGTCAATAATTTTAGGAATGGGCAGAGAGTTCTTTGTTTTCCAGCTCCCTATAACCATTTGACAATGTCAGGGGAGTAGATTCTTCTATCACCTAGTTCTGCTATTCTTTTCTCCATTATACCCACATCAGATGACATTTGTAAGTTTGCCTCTCAATCAATAAGTATTAGGTAGGCAAGTCATGGGCAGACAAAAATGTGACTTGGATGTTTTCTATTTTTAAGGTGACGTTTTCTGTAGCCTTATTTAATCATAATCACAGTTCTGGTTCTAGTTGTGAGCATTTTGATGATTGAGTTATTGAGAAGCTTAATTGTATTAATAATAAAGATTGAGGAGGGAGACAAAACAACATTATAAAGTCCCTTTGAATTTACTAGGCAGAGTTCTACTCAACACCACCTGAAACTTGGGAGATATTTCTTTTGGATTTTCTTTCAGGAGCATCTAGATAAAGCAATCGAATTTTTACCTGAGGAACCCTTTTTGTATTACCTCAAGGGAAGATACTGTTACACTGTAAGTTGAAAGCTTTTATCTGTAAAGCTTATTTGAATATATTCTGATTATATGATATATTTTCAGTGACTTATTCTTTTATTGTTTTACCTAGTGCCTACTATAGAGAAAATGATGAAATCAGTACATATTTTGAGTTTATAAATTTATATATTTTATAATTATATATTGAATTACACACAATATATGATTTTATAAATGCATGTATTTTTTTCTTTACTGCCTTTCCATTTCCCCTTGCGGCAGTCACACTGTTTCCCTTTAAATGTGCTTTTTCTCAGATGGTGATCAGCCACCAGTACCCATGCCCCCTGTATTGGTGCACTGCTCTGTTTTGTGGGAGAACTTTTTTCCTTTATCAGAATTTATTAAGCATAAATTATGTGCTCGCTGTCCTTTTCTTCAAGAAACTTTATTTAGAAGGGAACATAAGACATATAGAAATAAAGGCAGCTGGTGAGTCTAAGACCCAATGTGTTAAATGACACCTGTTTATGGAAAGTTAACAGAATGTGAAAATATATCATAACAGCTACATTAAAAAATTATCCTGAAGAGAACTGCTCTTTCTGAATAAGAAAATTGGGATAGGCAAAATAGGAAGCTTTTTAATTGTGGCTTGTAGAGGATTAGGGACGAAGCAGGAGGTTTGCTTTTACTGAACACCTGCTATATATGTCAGATGTGCATTTTATATTTCTTATCCCATTTCATCCTTTTAACAACCCTGTAAGCAGTTTTTATTATGCCAGTTTTAAATATTAAGAATCTGAGTCTTCATGAAGTTAAGGGACTTCCCTAAGATTTAAAAACCATTGACCCAACCTCATGAGTCTGGAACTTGAATGTACACTATACAGTTAGGCTTAAAAAGCCCAAGAAGGAAATTTAAATTCCAAATGGAAGCTGATCTTCATGCCATAGACAAATGGTAGAAGGTAATACTAATCCTTCCTGGAGGATTGTGCTATCACACACAGGCCTTAGAACATTCTTGGAGAGTTGAGCTCACAGTGAAAAATAATAGAATATATACAAAGAAACAAGCCATCATAGATGACAGTCAAAAGAAACAAAAAAAGAGAACAGAAGTAGATCTGAAAGGACTTCAGATTTTGGAAACATGGAATACAGAATATTAAACAGCTACCTACATAATGTGTTTTTAAAACTAAAATGAATTAGGGGAAAAATGGGTGAGGAGCATGAGACTACAAAAATGACCAGGTAGATTTCAAACAATGGAAAAAGTTTTGATATAAAAAGTATATTATTTGTCATTAAAAGAAAACTCAATGGAAAGATTTGGTAGTAGATAGGCCCCACTTAAGAGAAAATTAACAAACTTTAAGACAAATCTGAAAATGTTGCCTGGAAGCAGCACAGAGGAACAAAGAGATAGAAAATATGAAGGAGAGATAAAAAGACATGGAAGGGAAGTAAGGATACCACGTAGTGGTGAATTTTTATCTCCTTCTTTTGGTAATTAATAGAACAAAAGACAAAAAAAAGCATGTAAAAAAAGTATGTAAAACATTGATTGGAGCCTTACATTTAATAACCTTGATCTAATAAACATAGATGAAAATATGTATCTAGCCATTAGAGGATACACATTTTCAAGCATATGTTGAATGTTTACAAAACTGACCATATATGAGGTCATGAAGCAAGTCTTAGTAAATTTCAAAGAATTGATATCCTGTAGGTTTTCTGATAAAGCAATTGTAATAGAAATTCAGAAACAAAACAGCTTAAAAACCATAAATCTTGAATTAGAAATAATAGGACATGACAATAAAATAAGATGCCATTTTATACCTACTCATTTGATAAAATTTTAAATTATCAGCATGAGATGTAAAAATATGGAGCAACAGGAATTCTTACATTGTTGTGGGAACACAAATCAGCACAACCATCTCGGAAACAATTGGGTATTATCTCTGAAATTTGATTGTCTACCATATGACAATGGTGCCTACCCTAGAGAAACTCTTGCAAATGTGCTTTAGAAGGCATGTACAAGAATGCCTTTAGCAGTCTTGTTTCTAAGAGCAAAAAATGGAAAAGTCCCAAATATCCACTGAAAAAAGAGTGGATGGCTGAACCAAGATGGTGGAGTAGAAGGACGTGCTCTCACTGCCTCTTGTGAGAACACCAGAATCACAACTAGCTGCTGGACAATGATCGACAGGAAGACACTGGAACTCACCAGAAAAGATACCCCACATCCAAAGACAAAGGAGAAGCCACAATGAGAATGTATGAGGGGCGCAATCACAGTAAAATCAAATCCCATAACTGCTGGGTGGGTGACTCAGAGACTGGAGAACACTTATACCACAGAAGTCCACCCACTGGAGTTAAGGTTCTGAGCCCCACGTCAGGCTTCCCAACCTGGGGGTCCAGCAATGAGAGGAGGAATTCCTAGAGAATCAGACTTTGAAGGCTAGTGGGATTTGATTGCAGGACTTCAACAGGACTGGGGGAAACAGAGACTCCACTCTTGGAGGGCACACACAAACAGTGTGCGCATCAGGACCCAGGGGAAGGAGCAGTGACCCCAGGGGAGACTGAACCAGACCTACCTGCTAGTGTTGGAGGGTCTCCTGCAGAGGCGGGGTGGTGGTGGTGGCTGTGGCTCACCGTGGGGACAAGGACACTGGCAGCAGAAGTTCTGAGAAGTACTCCTTGGCATGAGCCCTCCCAGAGTCTGCCATTAGCCCCACCAAACAGCCCAGGTAGGCTCCAATGTTGGGTTGCCTCAGGCCAAACAACCAAGTGGGAGGGAACCCAGCCCCACCCAGCAGCAGTCAAGCTTATTAAAGTTTTACTGAGCTCTGCCCACCAGAGAAACAGTCAGCTCTACCCACCAGCAGTCCCTCCCATCAGGAAACTTGCACAAGCCTCTTAGATAGCCTCATCCACCAGAGGACAGACAGCAGAAGCAAGAAGAACTACAATCCTGCAGCCTGTGAGAAAAAACTACACTCACAGAAAGATAGACAAGATGAAAAGGCAGAGAGCTAGGTACCAGATGAAGGAACAAGATAAAACCCCAGAAAACAAACTAAATGAAGTGGAGATAGGCAACCTTCCAGAAAAAGAATTCAGAATAATGATAGTGAAGGTGATCCAGGACCCCGGAAAAAGAATGGAGGCAAAGGTTGAGAAGATGCAAGAAATGTTTAACACAGACCTAGAAGAATTAAAGAACAAACAAACAGAGATGAACAATACAATAACTGAAATGAAAACTACACTAGAAGGAATCAATAGCAGAATAACTGAGGCAGAAGAACGGATAAGTGACCTGGAAGACAGGATGGTGGAATTCACTGCTGCGGAACAGAATAAAGAAAAAAGAATGAAAAGAAATGAAGGCAGCCTAAGAAATCTCTGGAACAACATTAAATGCAACAACATTCGCACTATAGGGGTCCCAGAAGGAGAGGAGAGAGAGAAAGGACCAGAGAAAATATTTGAGGAGATTATAGTCAAAAACTTCCCTAATAAGGGAAAGGAAATAGCCACCCAAGGCCAGGAAGCACAGAGAGTCCCATACAGGATAAACCCAGGGAGAAACACGACGAGACACATAGTAATCAAATTGGCAAAAATTAAAGACAAAAATTATTGAAAGCAGCAAGGGAAAAACAACAAATAACATACAAGGGAACTCCCATAAGGTTAACAGCTGATTTCTCAGCAGAAACTCTACAAGCCAGAAGGGAGTGGCATGAAAGGGAAGAACCTACAATCAAAATTACTCTACCCGGCAAGGATCTCATTCAGATTCAAGGGAGAAATCAAAAGCTTTACAGACAAGCAAAAGCTAAGAGAATTCAGCACCACCAAACCAGCTCTACAACAAATGCTA